ACCCCTGATCCTGCCTGGGATTAAGCCATATTCCTGGGAGCTACTGGGCCTCCTGAGGTTGATACCACAATGGATGTGGTACTGACCATGCACAATGGAGTTGGTATTGAACATCAAGGATCTCATCAACTACCTTGGAACAGACATGCTAAGTAAGTATGGTCATTTTTTTCCATCAACTGAAGCACAGCAAGCCAGACTCCAAGTATGCTGGGTGAAAGTCCATGAATTTCTTTTACAGAGGCACTGGCAATACACAGTATTCCCTTATTTCTGTTTTTTAGAGGTTTTAATTTTTTTTCTTTCTCAAATGACCTGTGACTATGACACATATACTACTTTTCACATTTGCAACGTATAAACATATTTAACACGTCCTTTCTGCAGCACTACCAGCTGTTGCTTTGGTTGAATCTAATTTTAACACACCTCCCAAGCAGCACAGAGATGGTGAGGGTGAAACTTTAATTGCTTGTCTGTGTTAAGCAACACAGTTAAACATGCACTTAAAGCACATGTCCAACAAGAAAATACAGTCGGTCCAATTCCTGTGGTATGAAAGACTGCTTTGAGCTCCTGGGGTGAGGACAAGTTTAAGAAAAACATGGAGGTTTTGTTTCTAAGTCTAGAGACTATTGTGTATTGGCTGGGTCTGGCTGCAAGTCCTTGTAGGAAAAGGCCTACCAGTGAGCAATTACCTTCGATTACAACCTTCTAGTTAGCTAGTCTAAAATAGAATGGGCATTTTTTGGTGAACCTTACTCCACTGAAGGATAAAAGGAGGTTTTCCACTGAAAACACTGACTAAAAGCAGCCTTTCTAACCATAGAATTTTATGGAAAATTCTTTGACCATCTTCATATAAAAATAGTTATTCAGTTTTCCCTAAGACTTCAGGTAATTCCCTCTTTTTTTTTTTTTTCCTTATTGGACACAAAGTAGTTATTACCAAAGTATAATATTAGGCTTTCCTATTTCTTGCAGAAAGAAAAGGTTCTGAAAAATACAAGATATAAAAATGAAAGTTGTCCTGAACTTGTACTGGAAATTCAAACATAGTGACTCAGAGCAAATAAAAGAATCACCAAGAAGTACAAGGGCTTATGTAGTTATTTCAGAAGGTGAAACCTACTGATTTAGGTTCCACCTATACACAGGCACATACAGTTAAACAAAAAGTGTTCATGTAAACCATCCAATGAACAGTGACCTCTAAATCACTCCAAGTTGCTGCTTCTCTGTGAAGAAATTGATTCCTTCCTTTGCTTTTTGGGATTGGTCCCCAACTGATGATGGGGTATATTTAAATTATTTTTCAAAAAGTTCTGCATTCTATATTCTGGTCTAAAACTTCCATCACTCATCTTTTATTATGCCATAACCTACCATTTTTTGGGGTAGCTGGAGCCATTTTCAAGACCATGGAGGATCACTATTGGCAAATTTGTTTTCTGCACCTTGATTCTAGAAGTTTTTAACACTCAGGTGCTCATCCAGATGCATTTAGGAGCTTTGAAATTCAACTGCTATGTTATTGAGCAGGTTTTGAAACCATTTTTTGACCATAGTACCTACAGCTTTCACTAAGCCTCTTTTATCTGTGTTATAAGATATTGAGCATTTTCTCTTTTTGGTCACCCATGAGTTTATAATTCAAAGTGCTATAGGAGAAACACACTCAATAAGCAGGATCCACAGGCTGATAATCATGAAAAGATCTTGTTAGTATTTTGGGTGGCAGATAGCTGTTGCTGGAAACCATCCAGCTGGATACCCACTGGTGCTGCACTGAGCTCTCCCTATCCCTGGGGACGGTGCCCCACATTCTCTTCACTTCTAGGCCCTACTGCTTTTCTTGTTACAGAAGATCCCAGAGACCAACCTTGCACAGTTTCTTTGAAAGAAAAACACTTTCTCCTTTATTGTCAAAACAGATATTTTGATTTTTAAGTCCACATACACCGAGAAACCTAGCCAAACTTCCTTCTTTTATTTCTAATTTCATCAACACTGGAATATCTGGCTTCTTCAGTCCTCTCTTTTACCCCTTTAATACTTCACACCTCTCACTAAAGCCTTGTTTTCATTCCCCTCAGACTGGTATACACCAGTTACCAAAGAGGATGCAAAAATGTCAATCAGTGTCTGAGACTCACAATTGCATTTATTTACCTCTGACACCACCACCACCCCACCACCCCACCCCCAGTCACAGATATTTAGAATAACAATTCAGGAATTCAGCAAGGTTGTCCGCAGGTGCCTTAGAGATAACCAGAATGCTGTATCATGGCTTTCAAAAGGATAGTTCAAATAAGGAGCCAAACTAAGCATGAGTCCTGAACCAATTTAAGTTTGCCTTTCTTGCTAGTGTTGTGAACAATAATTCTCCACATTTCTGGAGTGCCTTCTACTTTAGGACACATGACAACTTAAAGAGACTTTAACTGACTCTCAACACACTTTTTGTAAGTATTATTTCCAGTTCAGTGGCTACACAGCATAAACTGTGAAGCCATTGTCCACGTGCATGGCAAAAAAAGATAAATTGCTGAAACAGTTCTCCCCATTTTATGAAAAGTACAGCTTCTGTACCTGGCAAAAATTATTGCTGGTTTTTTTTTTTTTTTCCCTTCATAAATGAGTCAACAGCATTAAAAAAAAAAAGGATTTTTTTTTTTTTTTAGTGGAGTGTCAATTTCTTAAAAGGGAAGTTGAAGAAAAGGACAAGTTAAGAAGTTTTCCAACTGCATGTCAATGTTTCTCAGAGATGCTAAGATAAATCCATCTCTTTCCAGAGATGCCACTTCCAAGGTAGTTACAAATATGCCATCAGAAACTACAGGAAATTTAGTGCCTATGAAAAAGGAGGGGTGGGGGTCCCCACAACCAGCAAGCAACCAACTAAAACTGGGTCCTAAGTTATGACATAAAAAGTGTTCTTTATAGAAGTAATTATTTACAACTACACTCCAGCCCTGCTGAAGTAAGATGACCATTCCCAAAACAGCCCTTGTGGGATATCAAATTACTAAAAATACCCAGGATATTTCAGTGCTTTGTTCATCAAGAAAACTGATAAGCCCAAGGGCTTCGTGAAAGAGAAATATCTGTGCGTCTTCCCCTAGTGGTAGCGGTGGCTTTTCCTATACATGTTGTTCCTAGAATGCCACATGTTATTTCAGGGGTTGTGTTGGTCCATGCTGTGAGGCAACGCTGCAAGACTGGGAGCTGATCATGCCTCTCCATATGCAAAGCAATGGTAACCTCCCCTCTCCTTCAGTCAAGGCTGGGAAAAGGAAGATATGTATCCTCTGGAAAAGAGATAGTGAACTTGCAGAGTCCACACAAGATGGGTCTACACCAGGGAAAGTAACCAGAGAAACATTTCCAGTAGTCCAGCTAGTACTGCAACAGCAGCAGTGGTGCTGCAGGAGCCCTAACTCAGAGAATACTCTGTCAGTGTAGTCAATGCACTGGTGTCCTTTGAGCAATCAATTTTGCTGCTGTCGGTGGAAATGCACCAGGATTTGAATTTAAAAGTTGAAAAAAAATGCTAAGCAAGGTATGAAGTTCTAATTACTCCTTATTCGTCCTATTTTATATCTTATTTGCCTTGTAGGTAAAACTAATGACAAAACATTTAAACCAATTTCCTTCTTGTTTAGGTCTAGCACAGCTTAATGTCTCCATATTCTAGTTTTTCAGTTGTTTCCCTATAGCTTTTATGATTACCTTATTCTTTTATTGCTCCTCTTGTTCCTCTCCTGGTTCGTTGAATTTGATAATGCATTTATTTAGAACCAAAGACATATATGATATTGAACAGGGCAACACACAAATACACAGCTCCAACCTTGTTCCAGATAACATGCAACACTTTCTGATGGTTTTTGCAACTCTATCAGGAGAAAACATGCACAAAATATGGTTATTTCATGTAATGCTTTATGAATTGCTTTAAAACTCTCTCAAAATCAGCGTTGATTTTTTCTTCCTAAAAGATTGGACCTCATCACTGAGAAACTGAAGAAAATTAAGTGCCGAGGGAAGTTTTACCTGAGGGCAAGGAGGCTACCCTCAATAAAGTGTCCAAAAGGACATTTAGATTGAAACTGACTCTTGAAGAGAGGAGCAAGTCCACACCTCTTCTAAAAACAGTTCCAAAAAGATTTACATATAGGTGTCACTGAATGCTTTGAAACTAGAATCTACTGTTAATCTGTGCCCTGCTACTCCATTACTCTGAAGAGGAGCTCTACAAGTCTGTTCTAGCCCCTCATCAAAAGTTTCATTTCATTTGAAAAATCGACTAGGTGCTTCTCTTCACTGAACTGTCTCAGCAGAAGGGCCCTGAATTAGCATGGTTTCCTCTAACAGCAAATCATTGAGCACACAAAGACAAATATAAAAAGAAAAGCATTTCAGAAGAATTCATCAAAAGATAAAAATTTCTGTGCACGTGCACAAAGACACATGTAATAATACAGGTAAGATGAGCTTTGCCACTGTATAGTGGTTCAAGAAGATTCTGATACAATACTTACTGAGAAACAGCACAGTTCTAAGTGAGGAAGAATTCTTCCAATTTAAACTGAGAAGTTCCAATGCAAAGGTCCTGCCTGCACGAAGGTATGAAGAATCACAAAAATCTAATCACATCTAAACAAATCTCATTTGACCAGTTACCAGCTGACACTCTGTATATGCCTCTTGTACACTCAAGTTCCTGGAAATGAAACACAAGAATATTATTTGGCCAAATATGGACTCACTGTTCTGAACAGCTCATATGCCTCTGAAGTTCCTTCCAAGCTTAAGTCTGAAGTCACACAGGGGCTCCCTGAAGCAGCATTTAGCTGGTCACACACATCTAGATGACAGCACTGTTCTCATTACAACAACTTCTGGTACTGACAAGCGACTCCTGCAATGTTATTCCTTGCTGAAGCATCTCAGTTTTGAACAATAAGGATTGAAAAACAATGGGATATTCTCAGTAGAATAATCAGCTTTTTTTTTAATTGAGAATTCATATATACAGCCTCCATGGAACTCCGTGCAAATGAATGCAAACAAAGAGTTTCAAATAACACAGTGCATTTTGGTCTGATCTCACAGTTACTTAAATATACACCAGCATGAATTGCTCCGTGCAATATACCCCTCTCATGTCTATTCCTGATACTGGATTAAAAAATAAGGCAGTCCAGCCTGAGACTTCTTTTACTTTTTTGCAGAGGCACCAAAGTAGGCTTGCTCAGTCATTCTGTCTTGAGACGGATTGCCTCCCGCTGTTGCTTCTGAACAGTCCTGGAATCCTCCCACAGACGGGGTCCTCTGATGTTCTCCCAGTTATCCAAGTCAGACTTTTCCAGCTTCTGCAGATAAACAGCAAAAAGAAGTGTGTCACTTTGACAGCCCCATGGTTTAAAGTATGTATGATTCTGAATTGTTTTACTTTTGCACAAGAATCTCGGTATCACTATTGGGTTGATGAACTTTTATCTATCCTGCAACCAAAGTTCAACAGCAAGAAAAAGAAATGTAGCTGCATAAATGACTAAAGTGGGCATTACTGCATCTGCTTATCACCAGATATGACTGAAGAAATCTTGTATTCACTTTTTCTTTCTTCTCTCACGTTGTCTTCCAGATCTGTTTTTCAACTGCAACTCTGCCAAGTACTGAAGTAGTAGGAGTGATAAGCATTGGTATAGCTCAAACAGTGACCTGAAGTATCCTGTCAGCGCAGATACCAAAGCATACTGGAAAAGATGAATTATCTAGCATAAAGAAAGACGGTAATAATGCAATCCCCTTCAATCAATGTGGTTTTAACTTGAAAGGTATGCAGTGGTTTCTGCTGCCGAGTTTCTCATGGCACACAACCATCACAGATAGGTCTCTCACTGTCATACATGAGATATGCTAACGGGCTGAACTGTCAGATACTTAAAAACTATCTCAATTTTAATTACCTCCTTGCCTACTCCTATCATTCCCACTCAGAAGTACCAATGACTGCAGTATTTATCTAGCCTTAGATGGGCACAAAAACGAAGAACAGGTGCCCTCCTGAATCACCTACCAAGTGCTCAGTTGAAGACAAACATATACTGCATCTTCACAGTCCTACTGGCAGAGACATCGAAGCCCCTTCCCAGCAGACAAAGACCTCAAGTCTCACATACCAGCCTGCAGTCTGGAATGATACATCAGACATGATGGGGCTCTGCTGACAGGAGACTGAGGAGAGTGTCTGCACCACTGCCAGGAACAGGGCTATTCTACATGCTACTGAGCAGGGCAATACTGCATACCATTAATGACATGTACTGCAGTGGGATTTAAACCTCTGATTTGTGATCAGGGCCTCATCTCAGCAAATGCTGTAAAAATACACCAGAAAATACTTAACCCTGCCCTGAGCCTGTGGTCTAATTTGTCTGCCATCCATCATCCAAATAAATGGCAAATACTGAGGGACCTGAATAATAGTCACAGAATAATTCAACAGGACAGAACAGACCTGCTGCTATTAGTTCATGTTATGTAAAAATTTTCTGCCACTTCTACAATGGAGGAAATTGCAATGAGTTTAGTCAGATATCAAAAGAAATTAGGCAACATTCAACAGAAGATACATGAGAACACATGCACAAACACAGCAGACTTTCACAAGGTAGAAGCAACTGAATTTTTTATACAGTGGAGTTGGCATAGGTCTTTCTGAAGAATTGTCTCCACTACTTCATATGTTTTATGATTAGCTGGTACTTAATTTCAGCCGGAAAGGATCTGAGCTGACATGGAAGGAGAGAGGAGGGACGGCACCAATCATCCCACACAGCAGCAACTATCCACTCTGTCTGCAAATACAGAATTTAATGTCTGATGCTAATGGAAGCTTCAAGGAAACTACACTGAAAATAACCACGTGCTTTAACAAAAGGGAAGCATGCTGATTTTATTGAACACAAAGGTACCACACAGCTGTGAGGATCTAAACTATTCCCAAAGGCGCTCAGCTCCCAAAGCCTGAACAAGAATCAACATTTAAAATATATACAAAATCTGTAGTATCTAAAGACAGGCTACACTGATAACTCTATCAAAAGAGTCAGGTATACCAGAGATCTTTACTAAAAGTTCATGTTAATCTGCCCTGAAATTTCACAAAGGCTTTTCAGAGAGGTTTGTACAAAACAGGACATGTTTCAAAAACACGATCTAAACAAACCAGTACAAGAAAGTATTTTGGCAGTTTCCAACAGAAAGTGTAAGGTACGTGGGAAAACACACTGTGATATACTGACAGAATAAAACAACCAATGGTTATGTACAGCATTGCCTCAAACTACGGAACAGGTAAGATGTATTGACAGAGTTAATTTTTGTCAATTAAAGCATAAAGAATTAAAGATTCTAATGAATACACAGAAAGACTGTATTTTTATTTTTTATTCTCACTATATTTCTATAGATTGTTAACATTTTGTGTCATGTATAAAGATTGTGTTTGATACCTTGCTGCAATTCAAGAAGAAAGCACCTTCCCTACTGGCACGTGACAGTTTCTGCAAAAACCAGTGGCTTAACGGAGAGGTGGATGTTTAGTTGTCAGAAGGCAGCATGATTAGACAAACCAAATTTCTAAACTGATGCTATCAAGTATTGAAAGAATAAAGGACTTCTGTTGCATGTCGATAAGCATAAGAAGGAATATCACCAGTGAAAGAAGACCCAAAAATCTCTTCCACAATGATTTCCTACTGTACAGCACAAAACCTGTGCTGATTTTGGCTGGGATAGAGTTAATTTTCTTCACAGTAGTTAGTACGGGGCTATGTTTTGGATTTGTGCTGAAAACAGTGTTGATAAGACAGGGATGTTTTAGTTACCTTTGAACAGTGCTTATGCAGAGTCAAGGCCTTTTCTGCCTCTCACCCCACCTCACCAGTGAGTAGGCTGGGGGTGCACAAGAGTTTACGAGGGGACACAGCCAGGACAGCTGACCCTAACTGATCCAAGGGGTATACCACACCATATGGCTTCATGCTCAGCGTATACAGCTGAGGGAAGAAGAAGGGAGGGACGGACACTCAGTTATGGCGTTTGTCTTCTCAAGTCACCATTACACGTGATGGAGCCCTGCTTTCCTGGAGGTGGCTGAGCACCTGCCTGCCAACGGGAAGTGGTGAATTAATTCCTTGTTTCGTTTTGCCTGTGTGAGTGGCTTTTGCTTTACCTACTGTCTTTATCTCAACCCACGAGTTTTCTCACTTCTACCCTTCTGATTCTCTCCCCCATCCCACTGGAGGGGGAGTGAGCAAGCAGCTGTGTGGAGCCTAGTTGCCAGCTGGGGTTAAACCCCCAACACTACCTCAGGTACAATTAAACAAAACCTAACCTTTTGCTTGACCGCTGACATGAAAATTCTTACAACAGTAACACCCCAGAATAAATGGCTACATTAGATATAGGCCAAAGACACACATGTAGATGAGAATATGTCCTTCTATTGATTAGTTGCAGCACAAGCTAAAAAGTGACACAGCTCCTTCAGACTGCCTGAGCTGTACAGTGAGAATTCAGGCAAGCAGCTAGTTCTGTTCTCAGATGAAGTCAGCCTCTTTCACTCTGACTGTCTGGTTCTTTTTAATTTCTTATTTCTTTTTAGCCACCTGGACCCTGCATACCTAGCTTCATGGAGACATCATCAATACGGTAAACTACTTCCAGCTTTCACTAAACTGAAATCCATATGTACTGGCAATCTAAAAACCAAAAAGCTATTTCTTCCAATTCAAATGCACTAAATAGTCAATCACTGGAGACTACAATGAAATGTAATCAGATCAGACCAGCACCACTTTTCCTCCTTGTCTCAAATAGCCCAAAGGATACTGAATATTAGCTGTTTAAAGTAAGATCAGTGTAGTCCATTAAATCTACTGATTCACTTCCTAAATCAGCTAAACTGCCTCTTAAAAGTACAGGACTGACAGAAGCTGTAAACTCAAGAAAAAAAAATGCAGCTATGCAGACAGGCACAGGAAAGAAAAAAAAACAACAAACAAACAAACAAAAAACTTCAACTGTTTGCCACACACTTGTCTTTTGAGACTTTTGTTAAACAGCTTGCCTGGTGCAATAAGGTTGTATTGGTTAATTGCTGATTCAAATGCCTGGCTTGATATTAAGCAAATGTCTGGCTTGATATTAAGCAAAAGCCATAACCCTCTGAAGCCTTAAAATAAAATAAAATTTTAAAAGGAGTGTGAATTCTACTCTTGCAGGATAGTCTTCATGCCACAGTAAACAAACTGAAACCTACAGAAATTCATTCAGAGATACTGGTGCTCAGGATGAATTAATTCAAGGCAGGCACTTGCAAAAAATGTTTGACTTTAGTCTCTGTTTCCCGCATGTGAAAGGAGGGATAAAAAATCCTGTTTACTTTACAGATTGATGAAATAAATTCTGTGATGAGCACCACAGAAAGAAATTGCTCTAATTCAGAGACACAATTATTTCCCATCGTTACAGTAAGCAAACCCATCTGTGGATAAAACATGTGCCAGGGAAGAATATCCTCATCGCTGAAAGATGCAGCAAAAGAAATTCGTTTAACAAGTCTGTTTTTGCAAAGGTGTCAAAACCAGCTTGAAGATCATAACGGATATATTGAGGAACTCTATGATGATGTATAGATGCAGAGGTACAGAATTAAGGCTAACACTGAATCTGTTGTCTTGTGCGTGACTCAAAATCTTAACTTTAGCATCACACTTGTATAGTCTTACTGGGTTTTTTTACAACTCTTTCCCAGAGCCACCTTTTTGACATCTTATTTTCTTAATATAAACTTGGTGCTACTTGCTTTGTTTAGCATGTGATAAAATGTAATATCTACGACTAGTGATTTAATAGCCCATGATTAGTGATTTAATCCTCAGATTAAAAAGAAGTATTTTTTCCAACTAGAGAATGTCTAGTTTTTATGTTACTATATACAAACAAGTCAGCAAGCAGCATGCTATGGCCAGAGTAAGTTTTTTTTGTTCATTAAGGGAAGAAATGGGGCCATTTTTGCATGTAAGCATCCAAACTGCTGCTTCTATTTTTGCCTTTGCTGAAGACTGGCAAAACCAGAAATGATGAAACCAAGAGAGGTTTTGTTACTTACTTCAGTGGCATCCAATACCATGGCACAATAAATTAACCGATGGTGAACTGGTTTAAGAGACTCTTTCCCCATAGGTTATTTTCCCTTTAATTATGCCAATTCAACATGATGTGGGGCTGTGTCCCAAGTAGAAAAAAATAAATAGATTTGGAAAACAAATACATACTGTTTAGGAATGAATCCTATTTA